CTCTCACCTGGGTGCCGTCGAGCCGAAGTCCCGAGAGGGGCGCCCCTCCGGTCCCCCGCCGCCGTCCGAAAACCGTCGCCGTCGCCCTGCCGGGAAGGAGGGAAGGAGAGAGGGGGGGGTTCCCAAAATATCCGTGAGCCTCAGTCGAAGGCGCAAACAAACAAAACAAGCACAGCCCTCAGCGCCAACGACGACAGCAGCGTTATCCCAAGGCGGCTCCTCCGACCGCGACCCGACCAGCAGCCGGTGAGGGAGACGGGGGTAGAAAAAAGGGCGAAGAGCTCCCGCGGATCCCCAGAGCGCGAGCGACCGAGTTTTGTGCCGGAGCCTGCCGTGCCTTCCCGCCGCTTCTGCGGGCGGCCCTGAGTGAATGCCTGGCGAGAGCCCGCGTTGGGCACGCCTGGTTCTTGACGGGACGAGGAGAGAGGAGAGGAGGAGCCCAGCCCAGGCACAGCCTCGCCTCCTGCCGGTCCACCCACCGCTCTCCCCGCGCCGAGAGCAGGAAGAGCCGCCCCTCGAAACAGCTGCCGTGGTTGCCTTGGTGCCTCCCCTTCCCTTCAGCCGGCGAGGAAAGGAGCCACGGGAGGGGAGGGGAAGGACGGTGTGTCTCGCCGCGCCTCGCCGGCTGCCTCAGGGAAACCTCCGACCTTCACAACGCGAGGCAGGAGGAAGGGGTGACTACCTGCGTCCTTCCGCGGCGCCCTCTTTTCTCTTGCCTGAGGAGGCGACTGCTTTCAGCACCTCTGAAGCTTCGCAGCCAGTGCTGAATACCGGCAGAGCAGCCGTGCCGGGGCCCGAGGAAGGCCTACTTACTTTAGCATCACCCCGTGGCTGCTAAGATTGCTCTGGCCGTTGCCCGTCAGGCAGTCGGTCGGAACCTGCTCTGTGTGATTTGTAGCCGGATTAGTGAGGGGTTCCGCTCCTCCCTGGTTCTACAGTGACGCCAGCAACACAATAGACACCATTTTCACTACCTCCCTACAATGCTGAAACCGACAGGTGGAGGCAGAACAGATAGGTGTAGGAGAAGATTAATGCATAAGCACCACTTCTAATACTGAACTTCAGTTCCTGAGGTGAACCTGCTTACCAAGACGCAGCTCATCTCAGTAATATAACCATGTGCCACCAAGTCAATTCTGATTTTTTGTGACTCTTTTCCGAGGTAGAGAATACTCAAAAGTGGTTGACCGTTGCCTTCTTCTGGGGGCAACCTTCTTCTGTGCAGCTTGCCTGAGGTCACACAGGCTGGCTCTTCTTCTCTGGAGGCACCCTGAACTCCCAACCTCTGAATTCTCAGCCAGATTTTTAAAGTTCAACTGAGCTACCCAGGCAGCTACTGCCTGTCTTACTAAGGTACTCTTTTGTGTCTGGCTTGAGCTGCTGGACCTCAAGGTTCTAATCCAAATTTAAAAAAAAAAAAGGTTTTGCAGGCAACAAGTCTAGCTATCTCTGACCTTCAGGGATGTTGCAACAACTCTTTGTCTCTCTTGTTCCTTGGTGACTGTATTCAGGGGCTTGTTGCTTCTCATTTTAGATGCAGCAGGACCAGTCCTCCTGTTAGGTGGAGTGATATGCCTGCCTCAAGGGGACAGAGCACAATGAACAACAATAATGTATGCACATTGCTGAGAGAGGTACATCACCCAGCACATGCAGGTTCTCCTTCATGTTACTGGCCATGCTCTGGTTGTGAGATTGGATGCACATGGAAAGAACAACTATCTGGAGAGATAAAATCACTGCACAGGTTCTTTATAGGTCTTTGGCTTATGTTCCTAGATTTTTATTACTGTTCATTTTAATTTAATGCTGGATTGCTTCTGACTTCCAGGTTGTATGAATGCTTGTGTAAGATTGCTCCTAACTTCATTCATAATGAAGAAATATTCCCACAGTGAAGATTTTAAACTCCTCTTAGGGATACAGAGGAAACTAAAATAAGATGTGTAGTTAAACAGTTATAAATATAGTGATACAGTTAATGAGTAGGAGTATTGCAGCCATCCTGTTGCAATAAAAAACCCACCAGTTCTTTCTCAAGGGCCAAAGGGTTTATTTCAATTTGACTTCCTCCTTAATATACCAAATGGTTCCCAGACGAATATCAACTCTCATTATATTATCACAAATCTTATTTTTATAGGTGTTGTGCTAACCCCACCCAGCTGCTGGCAACATAAAACATTTAATGGTCATTTTTAAAAATTAAGCTTTGCCCTTTATGACAGAAGAGGAGCTGATAATATGACTATAGAGGATGTAATATACTGCAAATGCAGAGGACTGTAATCTTAACCATTCTCTTGCTTTTTAGTTTAATATTTGGTAGCTGTTATTGAAGGCAGAGAAGGGGATCCTGCTGTTACAATAAAAAGGGGAGGTGAGAAGTAAAGCAAACAAGGAAAAAGCAGAAAGAGAAGAACATTAAAAGAGCCATGGATTTATTTTGGTTTTTACTTCCACCTTCTGCACATAAAGAGAAATATTTTGTTGGTATCAATATGTAATGTTCAGATAATTAATGCTTTGAAAGTTGAATTACTTGTTCTGGTGTTCATTAACTGGGCATGGCCTCTTCAATATTGGCATGACAACTGAAAAGCTAAAGTAGACTAAAATATGTCTTGCTACAATGAAATGCCTGGTTTCTCACATTGATAGATCAGTGTGTGAGCCAGCGGTTTGGAAGGGATATACAATGGGAAAGGTAAGGGGGTATATAGGATCCCAAGCAGTTAGGTAAAGGATGTGTGTGTAAGATCTAAATCAGGGGTTTTAAACTCAATTTACCTGGGGGCTGCTAGAGACAGAGTCTGGGTGAGGCTGGGCCACATCAGATTTCCCGCCAAGCGGAGCAAGAGCCCGAGGAAGCCGCCCAGGAGTTTCCTTAGCCAACAGACAGGTGGGCCGGCTGGCAGGCTGCAGTTCTGGATGGAGGGTGCAAGAGGGGCTGTCATGGGAGAGAGCTGGCGAGCGAGGCAAGGCTTTTTTTTACTCTTGATATCAGAGGATGTGTGGGTGCTTTGGGGGGAGGCAGGCAAGGCGAGGGCCACAAACTATCATCTGGGGGCCACAGATGGCCCCCAGGCCGCATGTATGAGACCCCTGATCTAAATGGTTAAATCAAAGGTTTTCCATCTTCCTTGGCATTTTTGCAGGTTCTATAATTAATTAATTGAATATTATCCCACAGGTTGTATTGTAACATATGCAGAAACCTTTAATTTTGTCAATTTAGTCAAAATGTTCCATTGTATTGCTGTGGGGAACCCATACTGATAGTCCCGGGCACAGAATGCTGCTAATAAACTTGAGTGAGTGAATGAATGAATGAGCTTTACTACGGTCACTGACCAGCAGATATATAGTATCCAGATGTGACTATAACACAAAAATACAATGAAAAGTAGCATAATGTAACAATATAATAACATCACATGTACACAATTTGTTTCAATGTAACAAAATTAGATGGAACCTCCTGAGTTTCACTGGACAGAGGAGTTCAGTAAATAAATTAAGTAAACTCTCTACCACTTGAGTGATTGCAAACAATATTAGAATCTTCCTGTTGCTTCTGTAGTTTGTCTGGGGAATGGTTGCACAAGGGTGACAGAACCTATTGGATCACGTTCATGACATCACAGATGATAAGTGAGACAACGTCCTTCCACACTTTGTCACCAGGGCACAGCACGTGAAGAGGGGGCTTGCGCAACATGAAGCTCACTGGCTCTGGCTTTAGGTGAAGGCTGCTTCCAAACAGAGGGCTCCTCAAACTATCATTGTTCGGTTGTGCTTCAGGCACTCTTGTGGTTTTTTTTTTGTTTGTTTGTTTGTATATGAACTTTCGTACATTCTATACATATAGTGAACATGACATAGCTGAGTGGCTAGTGTTTCCACCTGTCCTATTCTCATCCCGTGGTTGCCATTTCTCTATATTCTTCTCAATCTCATTTATTGAGCACCTGTACTTTTAAGAGTGCCTCTAGTCTGTTGCATGCATACATTTATCATGCCTTTAGCACAACCCAGTTGGATCCAAACATTAGTTTCTATCCCCTTTTACAACTCAGCTAGGGATTTTGTCTGCATTATTTTTTTCCAGTCAATTTCTTCACTAGAGATATTTTATACGAATTTCAGAGTTCCTGAAGCGGGAAAAGAGCCTTTGTCAAGTTCTCGGCTGGAGATAAGGAATCTCACAGGATTTAAAATTTCTCTTTGAGGTGTCCCATCTTCTAGAGACAGTCAAGGTTGATGAGAATGAGGAAGTTGGCTGAGATTCTTGCCATTCCTAATGGGAACCAATTTTTTTGTAACAGGCTGAATTGTCCCCAGACTGGAATATCAAGGACCATATGTGGAACAGTGTGTGGAGAAATTGATGGTATGCCCTCTTCCACAGTTCCACTCTACTTCCTAATCCAGCCCCCATGCACAGTTCTCTGCCTCTCTCTTTGCCTCTCTCTCTCTCTCTCTCTCTCTCTCTCTGACACACCCACACTCACACACACACTGATGTTCTAGATGTTATCTTTAGATTTTATTTGTATTCAAGGGTGAGGCTAAAGTTATGGGTATTTCTCTCTCTCTATTCATTTTAGAGTGTTGCACAATTTAAAATTATGAGTGTATCTGAAATATAGCCAAAATTAAAAACAAATTAAAATGTTAAGATGATTAGACTTTTTTTTAATCAAAAGCAGGCTACTTCAATAGTGTTATCACAGCCATTTGCTATATCTTCTTTAGTACACATTGTGGAGCATAAATTGCATGGACATAAATGCTGCATTTTCTCCATTCTCAGAAAATTTGTTCTGTATCCAAGTAGCCCCATTTTACTTGATTATTCTCTGATTTTTCCTACTTTGCTTCAAAGTTTATCAAGTGACTTCCAGATGGTTCAGCTAGAGTCTTGTCCTGTTGAGAGGCACTCTTCTATATTAATCTATTCAGTAAGATATGTTGTTTTTGTTCTCCATAGGTTTAGCCTAGCTTCTTCTGGTTTAATATTTAGAGCTTGAGTTGCATGCAGAAAATATTTCCTCAGTTTTAACTGCTGTCTAAATGGTGCCCATGAAGTGGATGGGTTTGGTGGTATAATACTTTATTTTGTTCATTATTTGCGAGCACTTCTTGGTTTACTTCTGGAGAGGCAATGCCAGCCAAATGACTTTCCCAGTGGAGGTAGGTTTCAGTGCCAGTAATAATCCTGCAAGATTCATTAAGAGCTACATCAACTTGTTTGGCATGTGCTGATTTGTACCATGTGGTACTAGCATATCTTGCTGTGAAGTAGCACAGGGACAATGCAGTTATTCTTATTGTTTGTAGGTGTGCATCCC